TTGACTGAAAGGTTAGAAATTTATACCTGTGAGGCTCATACTCAATTGTTATTTGTTAAATTACTGGAACTCGTGTCTTGGTTTTACTCAACTCTTTTTAGTTTAATAATTTTTTGGACTGGATTCTGTGTTTGATATGGCGATCACACATGACCATTTTGACGTGCAATTGCCAATGGTAAACGGTATAGGTGTCATCTCAATGCCCAGGAAATATTGCTATTGCTCATGCTCCTTCCGCTACCTTCCTAGCCTGACCTAGCCGTCCTCCAGCCTCCCTGCCGATGAATCCTTGCCGGCGGCCCTCCCAACAACATCCCCACCCCTCATTGGAGCGCCCCCTGTTGTGGCATCCTCTGGCTCTTGTTCTGTCGACCGTGCGGAATGGGGACACCGGGCCTACCATTTGGCATCATTGGGGAGCTATGCCAAGGCGATCCCATGTCACCACAGTTGTTCGTCCTAGCCGTTGACACTCTTGGCCGCTCGTTCAAGCGTGCCACCGAGATGGGGATCCTTTGTCACGCGCACCCTCGAAGATTGATTCTTCCCATCTCGCTCTCTGCGGATTATGTGATCCTGTTTTGCTATCCCCAGCCCGACGACTTTCCTCACACCGTGGATGATTTGGAAGCGCTGAAGCTGCAAGGCAAGGCACACCAAAGCTGATGCGCAAAGGGCTCGCCTCCGCGACGCTTCTCATGCCTGGGATGATTTGGAAGCACCGAAATGTGATTGCATTTTGACCGTCCAGGGCCTTCTTTTAACACATTGGTCGTGGAATCAAAGATGAGGCTAGCCTATGGGCTAGGGCAGGTGCCACCGGGCTTAGAACTGTGCTACCCACGACCTGGGACGCGCGTTAGTCTTGCTCCCTCTGCTGCTGCATTACTTTAACATTTGAGAGTATTGTTAGCAGCTTCCAAATGTTCGATAACTTGTAATTATTAATGCTTGATCATACTTGGGAATCTGGTGATTTGAGAACAACCAGAAAATGCAACATTATTTGAAATGAATATTGCGTCTTTTTTGATAATTTCATATTTTAGCGATGTTAGGGTGGCCTTGAGCCTTATTTGGGTGCTCAAACGCCGGGTTTCTCAAGCTATTTTACCTTATCTTTACTCGAGAAAGTTCAGTCATTAATTCGGTGATGGTGAAGTTAATTTTTACTAATATTTTTGAGCTATGCCTTGGGTAGTCATCACTAATGAGATTGGTTGCTGCACAGGTACAGTTCCAGCCGTTCAGCCAACACAGCAGCAAAGTACTGTTCCAGCAATTGAGCCACCACAGCTGTATGGTACATAATCGTATATTGTCATACATCTTGTGAACCTTGCAATTTCGTATGATCTGCATATTTCTCTTAATGAGATGAATGACTCGTACCAAGTGGACACCTTGTGTTTAGCTGTGAGAGAGAGAAAGCTTTGCGACTTTGTCAATTGTCTCTTTATTTTACTACTAGTTCAACTCAGACATTTGTTCTTCCATACCATACCTTATCACTAATGTCACAACAATCATGATGCTGTGGTATGCCTCGCTTATGTATTCTTTTTTTTTGTGGGGAAACTATCTATGTGCTAGTTGATACTAGTTGTCACTTGTAAGAGATAGAACCTCATTTCCTATGCTATCCCTATCATAAGACAAGTTGATTCCAGGGTGTTGGGACTCTGAATGGAATTCTGAACCCGTGTGTCTCTGCACTCTTTTCCTCTAGTGTTGCCAGTATAGTTTTGATAGTTGACAACTGAGGGTGCAAATTTCGCATGGTTTTGAGTTTTGGGGGGTAAATTAAACCAAGGCAATAGTCGGGGAACCAAAAGTAGTGTTTTTCCTAGGTAGATCATTAACTACAGTGTGGCTACAGTAAAAATGGGATGTATACTCTGAAATCTGAACAGGTTTATGCATTAATTAAATCGGGCAAGCAAATCCAATCCCACCACATGTAGTACAGTATGAATGTATTACTTTCTTCAAATGGTCCTGGACTTGGGCTGGGAGAGCTACCCAGAGATTGGCAATTGTGGGTTGCTCAATCTGGTAGTCATTTCTTTCTTTATCGGTACTGGTTGTTTGTTTTCATCGAAGCTGATGGACTTTGGTAATTCGGTCGCTGCTTCTCTTGTAGTGGGGCCTCCGTCCTCCTGCAGCAGCCGATTTTCATCACGTCATGTTTTGGGGTTCGACTTCGTTTTCACCACATCCCTTTCTCCTTTTCACAAATCCTTTTCGACCATTGTCCCACATTTGCCATGAGGCAAAGTGTCGGGTTTGGTAGAAATGCCGCTTCGTGTATGTGGCAGGGCCGAGCAGACGCTGATGTCATTATCCAAGAGATCATATACTCAGTATCCATCCAAGTTGTGTCGATGTTTAGGTTAGCTTATTTGCTTGTGTCGATGTTTAGGTTAGCTTATTTGCCTTTGCTTTTCCGCACAGCCATATCCCCGTTTGATGTGTGTCTTCCTGCTTGAGAGCTGCTCCGTAGTTTCCTTTCTCACCCTACTCTTTGTTGGTTAATCTGCCTAGCGCTTTCCACTGGGCCCTAGTTACTCTTGGGCCCAGCAGCCATGTGCTCCTTTCCATGGTAAGAACCGATCAAGCGAGTGGTCCAAGCCTACACCTCATGATGAATAGTAATCCAGCCCCTCCCTACCCAACTCTCTATGCACTCCTCCATGGTATCCGGCGCCTTGTCAAGCTACTGCGCCCGTATTGGGTGATCACTGTCATGGTAGTCCTGGTGTGATGGAAAGGGGCTCATCCATGTTTTTAAAGCGTCCCTAAGGCGATGCCTAGGCGACGCCTAGGCGTCGAAGCGCTCCCCCTCCGCTTTGGAAAATCGACCGCTTTGGGCGCCTAGGCGTCCAAAGCGCCCGCCTAGGCGTTGCCTAGGCGCCAAAGCGCCCCCCCCTTCCTAAGGCGGTAAGGCGTCGCCTTAAAAACATAGGGGCTCACTGCGTGTAACCGTCGATCTCAGCCTCTTCCATGGGGATCAAGGCAACTACATTTACATCCACAATGATGGACGATGGTGAAGCAACAAGCCCATGGACCCATCTAATTTTTTTTCCTGTTTTGTGCAGCAATATTTTGTTAGTAAACGTCTCCCATCTATAGTTTATCTATTAGTTAGGTGGTATAGAATGAAGAAGATTTGCTACTTCAGTTATAACTACATTTTAGGGAAAGGAGCTCCACACATCTATAGTTTGGCTCACTGTTTTTGAGTCAAACCACTAGTCACGACTAGTCGATGAGTCGTAGAAGTTCACTCAACAACGTGTCCACGAGTCGCGGCTAGTCGCAACTAGGGTCAACTATTCAAGAGTAGCTACCTCAGATCGACTCGTCGGCTCGAAAACCTTGGTTTGGCTATTAGTTACTCCCTCTGTCCCATAATATAGGAGTGTTTTTTACACTACACTCTTATATTATGGGACGGAGGGAGTAGATGACATAGAACGAAGAAAACTTGCTACTTCAGTTATAGCTACCTTTTAGGTAAAGGGCTTCTGTTAGTTTGTCGGCTAGCGGCACAAATCAGAATTGCATACATTTTTCTGCATTACAACATGAGAATTGGATCCACTGCAAATCTTTATTTATTTTTTATGATTGATGCAGGTGGTCGCATGATTCAGTTGATCAGTAGGATTTTCGTCTGCACCAGGTATACAATTTTTAAATTGCTTCCTTTGTATATTCAGCTGAGCATACTTTGTATCACCATGAATCATATGATAACTTCATCAATTGCAGAGTCATAGTTAATGTTTTTATATGATTTTTACATTGGACTCATACATGAAGACTAGAGAAAATGAAAAGTAAATAGTTTCTAAGTAAAATACTCCCAGTATATTTGATTCACATGGCCAGCTGCTCCAAATTGCGTCTAACTAGTTATCTCAGTGCTTCCAAAATTCATGTGTCATTTTCATTTGGATTTGGTTCTCTTATCAGCATTTGGTGGTTTTCCCTTCTCATATCTGACTGTAATGTGGTGTAAGAACTGGTTATATTCCGTTGAGCAATTAATGGAAAGGTGTGAAGGCCCGGTTGGGAGAAAAATCAGCACTTGGTTGTATGACTTGAATAGGAGAACAGTGGGCAGGTAAGCAGTACGTAGTAAGAAAAAGGGCATGCTAATTTAGTTTTCGTTAGTTTTCACTGTTATTACCATCTGTTTGCAGCTTCCTAAAAATGAGTGGTGTCATGATCATTTGACAGAATGAAGAAAATAAAGGAACATAGGCCGATAGGAATGGAACTTGTGAGTTAGTAGTACCTTGCTTTAAGCGAAAACGTTAATTTTCCTGTTTGTACGGCAGCAATACATATCAGTAAAAGCAAAAGAATGTTTATGAAGCAGTTTTCGACGTGGTAACAGATTATCAGTAAAACCAAAGCATGCCATAGCTATACACTGAATTTTTTTTGAATCATAACTTTGCTTCTATATCAGATGCATAGTGTTCTCCAAAATATGTATGTGCTCCCATATTGGTATTTTTTTACGAGGTGAGATCTTATGCTCTGTTGTACCAATCAACCAGTTCGTTATTTTTGCTACATGTATTATAATTATGGATGTTATAAAATTGGTACTTTCCATTTGCGGCAGTTTCCTTGATTCGGTAGTTGCATTGTGTGCATCAGTACGTTGCTCGATGGATTAGTTCTCCAGCTCATATCAGTAGTGTAGGCCACCATTTAGCTTTTGGATCCAGAAGTTGGAGAAGTTGGTGAAGTTGCAGCTTCTTAGGGTGTGTTTGGTTCAGAACGAAGTGTAATGGAATGTCGTCGTTCCAGTCCACTAGAATTGGTCGGTTCTGTCCTTGTGTTTGGTAGGGGCAACTCAAAATGGAATGGTTACATTTTGGTGTTTGGTTTTAGAGACGGAATAAAATGGATACGTTCATCTCACCTTCAGTTAGATTCGTTTTCAGTCAAACAAAAATCGCGGAATAAAGTGGTCATCCATCCATCATGCAACAAAGGCATATAAACGTTGAATTGGATTTCAGAACATGAGTGTTAGCATAGATTCATGAACCGAAGGCTTGACCGCTTGAGCACTCTCTGCCAAAAACAAATCACAGAGAAAAACAAAAAATGAAAAGATTGGGACTCAAGCACAAGATGAATAGCAGCCACCCAAATACCAAAGTTTGGATCTGATTGCTACAAGAAAAAGGTGCTTCTTTTCTGATTTCACTCCTGGCGGGGCGTGCTCAGGGGATGCCAACAGCCGGCGCTTGGAGCGGCTGCTCCAGCAAGCGTGGTGGCTTGGTGCTTCCCGGCGTGTTGCGCGAGCACGGCGACAGCATGGCCTCCCCGGCCTTGCTCGTATCATCTTCCTTGGCCTCCGCCGGCTCGACACAACTGGTGCACGGAGTGCGGATGTGGTGCCCGAGTCTGCTATGTACTGGTGGCGGTATCCTCCACCGGCGACGAACGCCCGCCTC